TAATAATAATAATAATAATAATAATAATAGGAATCCAAGGGTCACCTAGTCCAACCCCTGCAAATCCAACACTTAAGTCCCAGAAGTGACCATCTGCCTTTTAAAAATCATTTTTTTGCCCTTATATGCCCTCTGGAAGATTATTAGGGGAACATATTTTCCATTTGAGGAGCCCGCAGGAAAGAGATTATATAGATAGATATAGGTATAGATATAGATATAGACATTCATTTATTCTATCCTATTCCTATTCACATCTTCCAGACCTAAAACGAGTCCAAAAGGTGCATCTGCACTGTCGAAATAATGCCTTTCGATACTGCATTTAAGCACTGTGGCTCTTGTCTGATGGAGCCCTGGGATTTGTAGTTCTGCAAGGTCTTTTGCCTCCTCTCGCCAAACTACAACTCCCAGGATTCTGTAAAATGGAGCCATGGCAGTTGAAGCGATGTCAAACTGCATTATTTCTTCACCCAAAATATGACCCCAAAAAAAAATGCCCCTAGTTTTTGGGTGGACCTCCCGTTGGCGCTAAACTTTCCAGAGCAATGCTCCTAGGTTGGTGTTCTTTGTTTTGTTTTATTTTTAAAGGTTTGTATACAAAATCCAGTGAAGGGATTGTGAAAAAGTGAGGCGCTGCGCAAAGCTGACGCGATATTAATTTATTTACGAGATTTATATCCTCGCTTTTGGCAAACGCTTTCCCCAAACGGAAACAAACAAGGAACAAGATAAAAAACAAACATCCCCGACAAGGAATATATGCATTTGTCTCTTTCCCTATCTGTTTTTAAACAGGCCGTAATGGGCTTCTTTTTAAAAAATAGGACAACTTTTGGCTTTTTAAAAAAATTCAGCATTGGCTGAATTTTTATCAATGGCTGGACTTTGTTTTAAATAAAGCCTCAACTATATTTTACATTTGTTGTAGTCGTTGTGTGCCTTCAAGTTGTTTCCGGCTCATGGCGATCCTAAGTCGACACTATCCTGGGGTTTTCTTGGCAAGATTTGTTCCGAGGAGGTTTGCCCTTGCCTTCCTCTGTGGCTGAGAGAGTGTGACTCATCCAAGGTGACGCGAAAGCAAACCTGTCATGGGGTTTTCTTGGCAAGATTTGTTTCGAGGTGGTTTTCACTTTGCCTTCCCCTGCGGCTGAGAGAGTGTGACTTGGCCAACACTTTGCTTGACACTAAGGCAAACCTGTCATGGGGATTCCTTGGCAAGATTTGTTCAGAGGAGGTTTGCCATTGCTTCCCCCTGAGGCTGAGAGAGTGTGACTTGCCCAAGGTCACCCATTGGGTTTCTGTGCCTGAGCAGGGATTCGAACCCTGATCTCCAGAGTCCTAGCCCAACGCTCAAACCAGTATGAGTATACCTTGCTGGCTCTCTGTATATATATACCGTAGCTGTTTTTAATGTGATAACTTT